TGTTTTTTAAAGAGAGGAGGAACGAGAGAAATCAGGCCCCCGTCTTGATAACATTCTTCCTAGAATACTAAATCCAGCTCCTGACAACAGCCACCTAATTAAAAGATGAAACCCAAAAAGCTATCTAACCTATGAGTGAGCATGCATTTGCATCTGAATATGTAAATCTATTCCAAAGTAAAGCAAGGCGTTCAGGTGAATGTCCTTGTTAGGTGCTGTTAATCAGCGCCAACTCACAGGACCCTGTGGACAACAGAATGAAGCGCTGCCGGGGCCCCGTGCCACCCTCACATCTTTGCCATGCTCGGGCCCACTGTCACAGCCACCGTGTCTATCCACCTCGTTGGGGGTCTTCTCCTTTTTTGCTGACCCTCTGGTGGCATAGTGCCTAAGGCATTTGACTGCTACCCAGAAGGCTGGTGGTTCAAACCCACCAGCCGTTCTGCAGAAAGAAGGCAGGCAATCTATTTCCATGAAGATTTACTGCCTCGGAACCCCGATGGGGGTTGCTATGAGTCAGCATCGACGCTGTGGCAGTGAGTTTGGTTTGGCTTTTTGTTCTACTTGACCAACCGTGATATCCTTCTCCAGAGATCCCCTTTCTGGCACAAGTGTGCATGCTGCTGATTTGGATGGCAGACACCATACTAGACACTCTCTTGGCCCTTGCCCTAAACCACTGAATTTAACATTCTTATTTCACATTTAAGAAAACCAGGAGTATGGGCAATTTCCAAGTGGTAAAGCTAGGATTTGAACCAAGGTGTTCTGCAGATCCAATGTCCTTTTACAAAACCCTATGGGATGACGGATAGCATGATTTACAGAGAATATCAAATTGTAGGCTGGTCAGGTGTGGTCAGTACTTCTGATAACTGGATCAAATTCCTATAGTAAGACACAACAGATGGAATTTGGGCCAAGAAAACCAGCTGAGCAATCCTAATTCATTTAACCTTCCCAAGTTTGGAGTGGCCCTCTCTGGGCAGTACTGGCCCAAATCAGACACAGCACAATAGCTAGGCTCTAATCAGAACTGAGTCTGAGGGGAGTCACGTCCTCTTCCGCAGACAGCCAGCTGGATCTCCCAATTCACTGCCAGCTTGTTGACTCATACGCAGACCTTCATTATAACTCATGCTTTCTTTGCAGCTAAACTGGCTGGGCGTGCATCACCTTAGATTTGCACAGCTAGATACATCTCTTCCCAGACAGAGAAGTCTGCATTAACTTAGCCAGACTATTTCCCTGAGATACTAGGGTCCCTCAGCATTCCAACATCTGAGGTACCATCTCCCCTGTCTACTAGGGCTTCAGACAATGACGAAAATGTTCTATATCTGCACTATCCAATATGGTAGCCACTATCCACATTGCTAGTGCATTGCTAGTGCAACTGCAGTATTAAATGTTTAAATGTTTCATTTTAACGAATTTAAATAGCCACAGGTGACCGTTGTTGTTATGTGCCGTCGCATAAGACCCAAAACTCATAGCAACCCCTCCTTGGGTTTCCGAGGCAGTATCACTACAGAGGTAGATTGCCCAACCTTCCTTCAGAGGAGTGGCTGGTGGGTTTGAACTGCCAGCCTTCTGGTTAGCAATCAAGTGCCTTAGGTGGCTACCATACCGACACTGGGTTCTAGAACACTGGTAAGAATATTCCACACTCATGGGTCTAGGGCTGCCCCTTCATGAGCATCCAAGGATGGTAAAAGGGTGCAGTGGTTAAGAACTCTGGTCTTGCAGTCGGGGATGTAATTTCAAATCTCAGCTTTTTCCAACTATGTGACTGTCAACATTTAGCTTACCTTTCCCAGTGGGCTGCTTCCTCATCCCATGGGATGTTTATAATGATGATATGTGAGATAAACACATATCAGCACAACGCATGGAAGACCAGACCGCTGAATAAACATCTGCTGCTATTATTATTATTTTCTTCCCTGGGTGTAGCCAAATGTTATGCACTCAACTTACCAAGAGTTGGAGATTCAAGTCAATATAGAAGCATCTTGGAAGAAAGGCCTGGTGACCTCCTTATGAAATGACAGCCCTGAAAACCTTGTGGAACACAGTCTGACTCAGACACACGTAAGAGGTCAGGAGTCAGAATCCACTCACTGGCAACTGTCCCCCGCCAAATTATTATCTTCATCTTAAATTCCTAAATTCTCCTGGTTCCTTTCCCCTAGGTCACCTGTAACTGGCTGAAAAGTCAAAGATAGACTTTTCTGCTCTATTCTCCTCTTTAAAGATGGCTCCTATTATTAGACTTCTAAACTCAGGGAATGGGGCCAGGTTGCCCCAAAGCAAGACTGTAAGAACTAGTGCTGGATTCTACTCTCGGTGCGATATGCCTCAAAGACCCGAAAGTAGTAACAAAAACAGACATATGTATATCAATGTTCACTGCAGCACTATTCACAATAGTCAAAAGTGGAAACAAAATGCCCATCAATTGATAAATAAAATGTGGTATATACATACAATGGCAGATTACTCAGCCATAAAGAATGATGTCCTGATACATGCCACAACATAGATGAACCCAGAGGGCATTATACTGAGAGAAATGAGTTAGACGCAAAAGGACAGACACTATATGGTATCATTTATATGAAATAAGCAAATACATGAAATCCAAAAGTAATTAGCAGCTACCAGGGGTGAGAAGGTAGGAGCTCTGGTGGTATAACAGTTAAGGGATTTGGTTGCTAACCAAAAGGTTGGTGGTTTGAACCTACTAGCTGCTCTGCAGAAGAAAGATGGGACAGTCTGCTTCCGTAAAGATTTACAGCCTTGGAAACCCAATGGGGGTCGCTATGAGTCAGGATTGAGTCGATGTATTGAGTTTGGTTTAAAGGGGAAAGAAGGGGTTCTTGCTTAGAATGCACTGAATGGATGTCAATGGTGGTGGGATAATCTGGGAAAAGAGCGAAAATGATTGCACAACTTGAAGAACATAATCACTAGCACTGAAGTGTAGATATTGACGAAATGTTGTGTTTTATTGTGTGTATAACACTGTATTTTTTAAAAAATGAAGAAAGAGCGAACCAGCACTGGACTGCTGTCAGAGGCCCTGTGCCTTCCAGCATTCAGGAGCACAGCTCTTGCAGAACATCTCCCACCCCTCTAAGCCTGGCAGGTGATCAGAGAAGCCTCACCCAAACTGCCACTTCTCTCCCCACTCAGCCAACCAACCAAAAGGGAATGCATGCCTCATGATCAATAGCATCAACTGAGCATTCCTACATGCTGGGCCCTGGTGCCACAGAATGTAGACTACCACCCATCAGGAAGGCAGCACATTTCCATTGTCCAGAGAGGAAACTGAGGCATACAAAGCTGAAGTCACTTGCCCAGGTCCCACTACCAGTAAGCGACATGCTAGGACTGAATGTGGCAGGCTGACTCCAAGGCTCAGGTTCAGCCTTGCTATTTCTGTGTACCCTTAACCACCTTCCAGTTCACTCCCCACACCCCAGACCCCTTCCCTTTGTAGGTATACAAGCAGTCCTTATGTTGATCATCTGGGTTGAATATCGACTTACCCACAACATGTAATTATGAACCAACCCTGGAAAGCCTTTACCTTAAAAATTCAAGGCATATGCAATGGTTCATAATAATAAATGGGCTACTCTGCAATGCACATCAAAACATTATTATTATTGTTACTGTATTATATGCTAAAGATGTTTTAGTATATATAGAAGTGTGTAATTTTTTTTTTTTTTTTTTACTTTTTCTTTAATGTTATTTATGCATACGTACTGGTAGCATAGTGCCTAAGGCACTTGACTGCTAACCAGAGGGCTGGTGGTTCAAACCCAACAGCCACTCCTCGGAAGGAAGGCTGAGCAATCTACTTCTGTAGTGATACTGCCTCGGAAATCCAAGGAAGGGTCACTATGAGTCGGGTCCAATTCGACAGCACGTAACAACAACAACTGTATATTAAGACAAACATTTAACTAACTGATGTTAGGTACAAGTTTTGAACCATACCCAACTGTTCTGACTTATGTACAAATTTGACTTCAAGAGAGATTTAGGAATGGAACTCATTCACGATCTGGGGACTGCCTGTAAACTCTTCTGCCTCAGACCATGATTGTTCCAACGTAGTTTTTAGAGCAAGATCACTCACAAGTCCTCACACTTGCTTTTTTACATGTAGCAAGAAACATGAAAGAGATAAATGCTACTCAAGCCAGAGCTGAAAGAAAAGACTAAGATGAACGCTAGACCAATGTCATGTCGTTACAGTTCTTTTTTCTTTTTTTTTTAAAAGGTATCTTCTAAAACTGAAACTGCAAAATCAAGAAGCATTCACTTTTTCTTTTCAATTGCTTTAAAATATTTAGTGGAAGGAGCAATATTTCTACTGGGAATACTCTGATGAAGCATATCAAAAAAAACCTGGTTTCCAACTCAATTAAAGGAAACTTTTGGTATTGCTTTGCTTGCTCTAGTCTTTTTCAAATCACAGTTTACCTAGAATTGATGACCAGACTGTTATTTCACTCAACCTACACTATTTTTCAAAGAAAATTTAATAAGCTGCCAATATTTAAAAACTTGTAGTGATTTCACATTTTAAAACCTGCATTTAAGCTTTTTGAGTTAGAAGATCTAGCCAACACCAGGTACTTTTCCTCATTGCAGGAATGCAAGGCCGATGGATAAGTAAGGTGAGTTCTAGTTTGCCATGATCCCCACCACTCCACATAGCCTCATACGTAATCCTCTCTCCTCATTATCATGTAAGCAAAGCCCATGAAGGCACCTGAGTTCGTGGTCTCTTTACAAGAAGTTCTGGATAGAGAAGTAGTAGTGTTTAGCCCCCTACCATCTTACCTGTTCCAGGTAAGCTTCTCATTTCCTGGGAAAATGCCATTCCTGTATTACCACAGACCCCAGGAAGGCTCTCAGTACCTTCTCTCCCATCCACCACCCCCACTTGCAATGTCATCAAAACTACAACTCACCTGCTACTCTGTGTCACTCTGTTCTCTCTTCACAGGCGTCACAGGCACCTCCCCATTGACACTTTCGGTCCCACTAACAGACATCAAACTTCGCCGCTCCTTCTGATTTGACTTGTGTTCCACTTTTGTAACTCTAAACCTGAGAGGTAAAGAGGAGACTGGATGGGTTTCGTTTTTCCAGGGACCAAGAGTTATGAGTAACTGAAAAATTATCCATCTAGAGGATCCCAAGCTGACTGAGACAGAACTTACGACACAACAAAAATCACCCTGTTCAATAAGAAGGTCATTCCTACCCAGGAAATCCTATCCCTTGCCAAACTTCCCAGCTGATCTTTCACTCAACAACTTCATAGACTGCTAGATAGTTTATAGATCATACAAAACGCACAAAAACACACAGGCACTCATATATTAAACAGCCTCAGAGTTGTGGTTTCTTACAATGATATGGGCTTCAGCATCAGTTTTCTTAACCACAGAAGGCCAAACAAAAGAAAGGTTTGTAAATGATGTAATCAAATGTTCACCAGAAAACTACTTTATGCAAAGATGTACCTGTCAGACAGTCCTGTTTCAACACGCTTGGCCAGAGCAGCCGCCAGCTACTCATTTCATCATTATTAGTGGGCACTAGGGTTTTAAGGAGCTCCGGTATAGTGGTTAAGGCATTTGGCTGCTAACCAAAAAGGTCTGTGGTTCAAACCCACCAGCTGATCCACAGAAGAAGATTGAGGCAAGTTGCTCCTGTAAAGATTTAGTCTTGGAACCCCAATGGGTGTTGCTCTGAGTCAGAATCAACTAGATGACAGTGAGTTCAGTTCAGTTTTGAATGGGGATTTGTGATTTGTTTCTTGCTCTTTTTGGAGGTAAGTTTGAATTAGTTTTTTCCATTTTCATGTATTTCTTATTTTTGGTGTTGTTATATAATGAATTGTGTCCCCAAAAAAGATGTGCTGTAAAATTCTAACCCTTATTCTTGTGGTTATAATCCCATTTGGGAATGGGTTTTCTTTTTTCTGTTAACGAGAAAGTATCACTATACGGTGTGTCTTAAATTGATCTCTTTTGAGATATAAAATAGATTAAACAAGCAACTGAGCAGCAGACATAGGGAAAGAGAGATGCCAAGCCACATGAACGCTGCCCAGGAGCAGAAGCTCCAAAGAGACCAGGACTTTCTTCCAGGGCTGATAGAGGAAGCCTTCCCCTACTGCCGGCACCATAAATTTGGACTTCTAGCCTTCTAAACTGTGAGAAAATCATTTTTTTTTTTGCTTGTTAAACCACCCATTTGCCAGTCCCTGGGTTATGAACATATGACTTCTGTATAATCTGTAGTTCTGAACCAACCCCATAAAGCCTATTACATTAAAAATTCAAGGTACATACAATGGTTAGTAATGAAAAAAAAAACAGGTGCCATTTTGCAAGGTACATCAAAACATTAGTATTACTATTAAAGATGTTTTAGTGTATCTGTATTCTATGTTTTTTATACATAGAAAGGTAAACTATATACTATATACTAAACTCACTGCCATTGAGTCAATCCCAACTCATAGCAACCCCTCTTTATGTTTGAGGTGGTATCTCTACAGAAGTAGATTGCCCAGGCTTCCTTCCAAGGAGTGGCTGGTTTGAACTGCCAGCCTTCTGGTTAGCAGTCAAATGCCTTAGGTACTATGCCACCAGAGCTCCCATATACTAAGACAAATTATTCAGTGTCCAAGCAAAATGAAATCTCTGACTTCTCTCCATCCACTGTGATGCTCCTTATTGGTCCAGTTGTGATGATTTTTGTTTTCTTTATGTTGCAGTGTAATCTGTATTGCAGACTGTAGTCTCTCATCTTCATCAGTAAGTGCTTCACTTATAGCAAGCAACTTTGTGTCATCTGCATATCACAGGTTATTAATGAGTCTTCCTTCAATCCTGATGCCACATTCTTCTTCATGTAGTCTAGCTTCTTGGAATATTTGTTCAGCATACAGATTGAATATGGTGAAAGGATACAACTCTGACACACACCCTTCCTGATTTTAAACCATGCAGTATCTCCCTGTTCTGTTCAAATGACAGCCTCTTGGTCTATGCACAGGTTCCTCATGGGCACAATTAAGTGTTCTGGAATTCCCATTCTTTGCAATGTTATCCATAATTTGTTATGATCCACACAGTTGAATGATTCCGCATAGTCAATAAAACACAGGTAAACAAACATCTTTGTGGTATTCTTTGATTTCAGCCAAGATCCACCTGACATCAGCTATGGTATCTCTCATTCCACATCTTCTTCTGAATCCAGCTTTCATTTCTGGCAGTTCTCTGTCAATATACTGGTGCAACCATTTTTTTGAATTATCTTCAGCAAAATTTTACTTGTGTATGATATTGTTCAATAATTTCCACATTCCGTGGGATCACCTTCTTCGGAACGGGCAAAAATATAGATCTCTTCCATGGCCAGGGAGCTGTCTTCCAAATTTCTTGGCATAGATAAGTAAGCACCTCCAGTGCTGCATATGTTTTTTTTGAAACATCTCAATGGGTGTTTCGACAATTGCTGAAGCCTTGTTTTTCACCAATTCCTTCAGTGCAGCTTGGACTTCTTCCTTCAGTACCACTGGTTCTAGATCATATGCCACCTCCTAAAACAGTTGAACAATGACCTACTCTTTCTGGTATAGTGACTCTGTATATGTGGTGAACTCATAGAGATACTTCTTTATAAGAGCATAATGCTCAGGGCACACATTCTTTATTAATTGAGCTAAACTGTTGTTTACTTTAATGATGGCTTCATGGGATGCTTTTTATTCAAGGTTTATAGATTCTTCCCAGGCAATAGATTCAGGGGTTGCCCAAGTCTCAATTGATCCAATATATCTGATTTCCATATGAATTTGAAGCTCTTTTTCACAATTTTCCTCCTTTTGATCCAGCAATTGGGTCCCTGATCAAAATGTTCAGTAATAATAGCTGGGCACCATTCATTTTGTCTGGTCTCACGGTAAAGGACATAGTCATTCATGGAAGCAGTTGCACCTACAATCCATTTTCTTCTCTGAGTCCTAGGTCTCCTTCTTCCTCTACTATTCTAGGTAAATAGAGAATTGCTGCATCCTGAAATCACAAGATTTTAGGACCTCAAGCACTACTCACTGAACTGGGAGGCAGTACAGACATTCTGTAAACAATGTTAGGCCAACTGACTGGAGAGACCCAGGAAGCCATGACCTGAATGAATTAATTTTTATTGTGGATTAAGAAAAAAGTAAGGAAGAGATTTACATTAAGGGTTAAGATAGAAGTTAAAGAATTCTAGTTAGGCTGTTTTTCTCTGGTCTTTCATAAGAGCGTCTCTATTTCTGGTCTTAATTTCACCTCAAACTATCAAAAATAAATTCTTCTCCATCCAAAATGAGATCCTCCACCATGAGAAAGAGGAAGCCTCTGAGAAAGTGAGAAAGAGCGAGCAGGGGAGAACTTGTAAACCCAAATCCATTCTCTGGAACTGCAAGACTCTCTTAATCAACACACACTAAAACTAATAATGAAATGTTCATAGTAACCAACTTCTGAGAAAGACAAGTACACACAGGCTATTTTAAAAAGCCATGCTGAACTCGAGTTGAAAATTTCAGATTTTTCTTTTAAGCATATAAAATGCACTTTGTCCAAACAAGCTACAAGTTCTCATTCTGCATTTAAAAATTCCCATGACTCTCCTACTTAATAAAACAGTGTGGTCATGAGTTGCTCTGTTTTGCTGTAAGTGGCAAAAGCCCTGCAGTCTTCCTCATTGCTTGTGCAACACATGATGAAACTCAGCTGAACTAAAATAAGAAGAAGAGCCAGTATCTCCTCAATGCTCAAGAAGTGCCAAACACTGGCCTAAGATCTTTACAGGATTTACCCTCATCAGTCTTCACAGCAACCCTATGATATGAGTGATACTGTCACTTTTATAGAGAGGGAAAGAGAGGCACAGAGAGAAGTAACAGCTTGTAAGTAGCAGAGCTGAGATTTGAACTCAGCCTGGTTCCAGTATGCATACTCCTTACTGCTCCATTCTAGCTTTTCTGAGTGCAGCAGGAGTGTTATGGTTAAATGTGTGTCCCTCAAAAGTATGTGTCATAAATCCTAACCCCCATATCTGTGACATAATCCCATTTGGGACTAGGGTTTTCTTTGTTATGTTAATTAGGCCATACTGGTATAGGGTGTGTTTTAAATGTAACCAGTTTTGAGATATAAAAAGAGCAGATTACACACAGAAGCAAGTAAGCACCAAAAGGGAAAGACAGATGCCAGAAAGATAGATGCCACAGGAACTCAGCAAGAAACTGAGGAATGCCAAGATCACCAGAGAAACTGAGACAGGATTTTCCCACAGAGCGGATAGCAAGAGAGCCTTCCCCCAGAGCACTAAGAAACTAAGCCAATGAGCAATGCAGATCCTGCATGAGACAGTTAATCCAAACAACACGAAGTGCAAACGTGATTTACACAAAATTAAACTGATTCATTGCTCGAACTTCAAGAAGTCCACAGCCCATATGGGTCATAAATAAAAGGCACGTTGGCACTGGCAGACCCAGGACACAGAGTGAACTCAAAGAAAGCAGTCAGCGTGGTTCTTTACGTGGATCATACAAGGCGGAGCCTAGAGAACTGGGGACACACCATGTCTTTCTCCTTCCTGGCTGGATGACACTGCTCGGCTTCCTGGCAGTTAGGTGTGGCCAAGTGAGTTCTAGCCAGTGTCATGTGAGCAAAAAAAAGATAGGAACCAGGTCCAGACCTATCTCATTAAACCTTCTCGTGACTAATTCTTCCCGTACTTTCTCCTCTTGGCAAGCCTGGCAGAGCCACAAGATGGCACGTGCCTAGGACTCGGAAAACTGCTTGAAGAAGTGCCACTCACTGATCTCTCATCACTGCTTTGGATTTCTGTGACTGAAAAAGAAACTTCTACTCTGTATACAATTGAAATTCAGGGCTTGATCTGTTACAGCAAGTAATTAGTCATTGACCTTAATTAAAATACTACCTATCTGATCTAGAAATAATCCCCTCCTAAGATTCTTCTGTAGTTGGAAAAATCTAGGGCTGAGACCAGAAAGCATCCTAAAAAGCCCAGAGATACGTCCGGGGTCAGGGTTAGAAAACATTCTATATTGAACGGTCAGTGCAAATCCACACAACAGGGCAACTACATCACACACAAACAAACAGCATCCCAGGGGCTCTTACCTCCCAACAGAGAGGACGGTGACCTCTCCTTGGCGTCTTGGTCGGCCCTCTTTGGACTTGTTGGTGGGTTTTATGAAGTGCCACCGCTTGTGCCTACACCGATGACACACATCCCTCTCGACAGCACCGCCTACTGTGTGCAGATGGTGGCCACAGATATGCTTTCCTGGTGTGCCTCCTGGTGACAAGGGCCCAGGACTCACAGGTGGACTGCCAGGAGTGCTGGGGGTCACAGGGCTAAGGTGGAGAGAAAAGGAAAAGGCAGACGGGTTACTTAAAGGAAACACCAGCTGAGGCCACCCCTCTCTCTCAGTAATATAAGAAACAAGTTTCAATTAAAAGAAAAACCTCTTCCAGAGGATCTGTGTAGATAGATAGATAGATTGATAGAGAGGGAGAACAATGTAGAACAAAACTCAAAATCATTTGAGGAAAAAAGAAAAAAGGTGGGGACCAGGTTTGCTGGTCCGATAGAGCCTGGTGGAACCACTGAGACTATGGCCCCTAGCTGCCCTTCAGGTCTGGAATTGAACCCACACCTGTGGTTTCCAGCCAAACAAAAGACAGGCATATGAGTTGAACATTTACCTCAAGTAGATACTCTCCTTGGAGAGAACAATCATGGGAGAAAGAAGGGCTGCTTATGCACAGGGAGACAGCTGAGGGGCAGGAGTGTATGGAGGGATGGACACTGGGAAGAGGTAACTATGGGGAGGAAGTGGGAGGGGAGCTGTTACATTGTGGTAAACTGTGGTCAATGACATGAGACAAAGTATATGTGAACTGCTGTATGGAAAGTGAATTTGCTCTGTAACTCTTCACCCAAATCACAATTTTAAAAAAAAAGAAAAACCTCTTCCAATTATACAAACAGGCTAGTGAACTAATCTTAGGTAGCAGGTACTCAGCTCGCATGACCAAGCAATGACAGTTCATTTCAAACAACAATTTAAAACAAAAAAATGACTTTTCTAGAATGGAACTGATTGACTGGAAATATACAACTGATTCTGATGATGATATCCCATTCGACTTTAAAATATCAGCTTTTTCCTAAATGACTGATCTCATCTCATGCAATCATACTAATTTTTAACAGACAAGTGTTTGCCTGAATCTCTGAGTAAAAAGAGGCCCTGAACACATGTGCCCTAGAGAAGAGAAAAACTAAAGTTCCATTCAAATTATCCAATGTCTTTAAAATATAAAATTTGATCTAATCTGGCTGTTGGGTCAAAGAAAGAAAGCTTTTAGCTCAAGATAAGTGGTAGATGTTGATGGCAGTGGTCATAGTATTAATACAAATAACTAACACTTATTATTATCAGCACCTTATACATGTTAATTCAATTAATCCTTACAAAAGCCTATGAGGTATTATTAATATCCTCATTTTAAAAATGAGGACACTGATGCTCAGAGAATTTAAGTAACTTGCCCAAGGACACACAGCTACTAAGTGATGGATCTGGGACCCAAACCTAAAAAGTTTAAATCTAGAAACCACGCTCTTAAACCACTATGGTTCTAGTGCTTCAGAAACAGGGGAGACCATTTTTATAACTTGGAAGAAACCTGGTCAAAACCTAACAGCGGGGAGATACGGCAAGATGGCGGACTAGGCAGAAGGATTGCACAGACCCTCTTCAACAAAGAAAAGGGAAACCAATTAACACAGACACAGAAGATAATCTTG